CCAATCATCTTTTATACTTAGCCCTATAACTAATCCTATAGTATAACAATCTCTCTTGTCTTCTTCTACCCCCCTCAACAATCCAACCACTACATCAAATCTCCTCAATCAAACACCCCAACAAATCAACCACTAAACCATCAACTACCCCCATCAACCGATAAAAAATCGCTCAACCTCTTCTCATAATCAACCAAACTATCAACCAACCTCCTTTTTTTCTCGCCATCCACCTCTCCATCAATTCTGCTCCTCAACAACGCAATTCTAAACCGCAAATCATCAACAATCGTATAATTCGTTTCTCTACCCGTGAGCGTTAACTTCTCCTGCAGGATATCAATGATACGTTTCTGCTTGGCCAGTGTTTGTGTGGTTTGTTTGGTGAGCTGTTTTGATTTGTAGAACTCGTTGCTTAGGATTACGAGTTCGTTTCTTATTTCTGTATTTTCTGTTTTTAGTGCTTTTAGGGCGCTTTTCAAGCGTTCGTTTTCCTGTGCGAGATTTTTGTTGGTGTTGTCGAATTCTATACGGGCGTTCTGTTTTAGCGTGGTGTACTCGTTTGCAATTTGCTGTATGCTGAGCGTGAGCTCGTCACGTTCAATCCCTAAGTGTGAGCATACCGTGTTTATTACAGCGTTCATCTCCTGCATGCGATACGTGCTGTCCCGCACATTCTCGTGCACCTTATTAACCAGCGCCGCACATTCTGCATGTGCAGCACGTGTCTGTTCCACAAGTGCCCGCAATTCCTGCACACAACACCTCATCCTCTCACTCTTACACCACCGTTCCACCCGTCCACTCTTACACGTCCTAAATCGTAGTATCTGCTTAGCATCCTCCAATTTGCCCACGTTCAGCAGGAACAGCAACCGCTCGTATATTTCCGTGTTGCTGTCGTCCAACCGCCGGCTTATACACTCGAACAGTCCGTAGATGTTGTTTAGAATGACGTTATCACTCTCATAGTCACGAATTAAGGAGTCGTCAGCATCTAATGAAAGGTTGCACTCTGCAACCTTTAAATGATCGTTTAGCGTTAGTTTTGTGAGTGGTACGTTGAACGTATTTTCCTTTGTGTTGGCAGACTGCGTGTCTGTTCGTGTATTGGTAGGTTGTTCATTTTCCCCTGTGTCTGTTTTAGAGTGGTTAACGTAGTTCATCAGGGCACGGTATTTTACGAATAATTTGTAGAAGAGAAGGGTAAAGTAAATTAGGAAAGGCTTTTAATGAGGAAAGAATTAGTGTTAGGGTAGGTTACGATAGGTCAGGTTGATAAGTATTGGTTAGGATGATATAGTAAGGGTGTTCTTGATAGGAGTTATGGTTAGTAAAGTAGTGTTTAATAAGTATTAGTTAATAAAGTAGTGGTTAAGACATTTATACTTACTATATTTACTAATAATAATTTAGAACTAACCATATCATTATAATAATTTAGAACTAACCATATTTATTATAATAATTTATACTTACCATATCATTATAATAATTTAGAACTAACCATATCATAATAATATTAACTATTACTTATATTAACATCATCTATTATCATAATAATAAAACTTTTACTTCAACTGTTCGTTAAAAAATATTTTATTTAATTTTGAAAGGGGTAATTTAAATACTAACGTATTAAATGCACAGATTTAATTAAAATAATTAAAACGGTTTAATATGAACGTAGAGAGGAACATTACCAGTTCTAATACAAAGTAATAATATTAATACAATCTAACAGTATCACTACTAATATTAATGCTATTGTTATAATAACAGCATCCTCATGTCAATCTCCTTATCCTTCATTCTCTCTCTCATCCTCTCATAATACCTCCATCTCCCCAGATAAACCGGATCATAATAAAAACGTTTACATTCATCAATACGTTCTGCAAGTTCAGCCTGTGCATTCTTATCGTTCGCGCTGAGCCGTTCCGATAATTCGTACACATGCGATAGATCGGCAGCATCCGCATCAAGCGCACTGCGTGCACCCGCAGGGTGCACCGAGTTGTGCATATAAAGTGCGCGTTTTAGATCGTTGTTTAGCGTGTCGTACGCTTTCTTTAGGCCTACAAACATGTTATCGTTGCCGCCCGTCATTGATGGATGGTAACGCTTTGCCTGTGTGTAGTAGTTGTGCTTGAGTGTTTGTTTGTCTATGAAGAACGTGTGTGGTAAGTTTAGGAGGGTGAAGTAATCCTTAGCTGGCAGCATTTAGGGGGTACGTTAATGATGTTAGTAAAATGTAAGAGAATAGGAAGAGTTGGAAGTGGTTGTAATAGAGTAGAATGGGTTGTATTAACATTTATTATTAATTAGTAGTAGTTATTAATAATTAGTAATAATTAGTAGTAGTTATTAACTATTATTAATAATTAGTAATAATTAGTAGTAGTTAGTAAGAGTTACTATTAACATTTATTATTAACATTTATTATTAACATTTACTATTAACATTTATTATTATTTTAAATCCTTCTAAAACAATAATTTCTTTTCACGTACCCCCTACGATTTTTAATGAGCAATAAAGAAAAGAATAAGAATAAAGAGAAGAGCAGGAGTAGAAGTACGACTAAAATTACTAATAGTACTACTAAATCTAATACATCCATAAATAAACATAAGAACAACCACCAAACACATCCTAAGCACCCCAAAACAACACCAACACCACGTAAACGTACACCACCACCACTCCCCCATCTCACAGCCACAGAGTCTCTAATAGCACAGCATGGCACAATAAAAGATTACCTTGATTTACTTACCCTGAAGTATTTAAAGACGGGTGATGCGGTGTTTGTTAATGAATTGATTGAATGTGCGAGTGTACAAAGGAATGATAATATTTACTATGCGTTGTGTAACTTAGCGGATATTGTTAATGATAGAGAGGATGGTAATGGTAGAAATAATAGAGAGGATGGTAATGGTAGTAATGGTAGAAAGGGTGATAATGATAAGAGTAGCAATAGTAGCATTGATAAGAATAGCAATAGTAGCATTGATAAGAATAGCAATAGTAGCATTGATAAGAGTAGCAATAGTAGTAACGTTACTAACGATACTAACACTAACATTACCAATACAAATACTAACATTACTAATACAAATACAAATACCAATACAAATACAAACATTACTAACTTCTTTAGACTCGCCATGAAAAACACGTTCATAGCATCAAAATCTACCCTCATCACAGCATCCATACTTCCAAAAATGCCTGCCCTTCTCATCCCCTTCATCCTTAAACTACGTAACAAAGATACGTACCGTGTAGTAACGGACGCTCTTCTTGGTATGCGTTACGATCGAACGGTTGATCATGAATTGATGGACATGTTTTTTAAGGAGGATGATTGGTTGGTAAGGATGCGCATTGTTTATGTGATGGTGGGGAGATGTGCTGATGAGGAGATTATGATGATTTATAAATTTATGGTTGGTGTGAATGAAAGATACGGGTTAAGCTATGATTATGGTTGCGATAGGGATGGTAATAGGGATGATGGTTGTAGTGGTAGTACTATTGCTGGAGATACTACATCACGTGATAGTAGATCTAATACACCACTTAATAACAGACCTACTACATCACGTGATATTAGATCTAATACATCACTTAATACCAGACATACTACATCACGTGATATTAGATCTAATACATCACGTTATAGTAGATCTAATACACCACTTAATACTAAAATCAATGATCAGCTTAAACCACGTGATAAAACACTCATCACAAAAATAAACGACATGCTAATCAACCACCTCTCAAAAACAACCCCCACACTTCCCATCAACCAATCACCATCCACCCACAACTTCCCCAAACTACTCGCCCTCTCATCCAACAAGCACAACCTAATAAACACGTACCTGAACGAATGCATACCATCCGCACACAATCTTTCGCTTATCTTGGATTATGTGCTGGAGAGTAGGGATGGAAAGATTTTGGTTAGGGTGATTGAGTGTGGGCTGGATGATGAGGGTGTGCGATGCTTTGTTGAGAGGATGAGGGATGTGGTGGTGGAGAAGGATGTGCTTTATTATGTGGTGGGGATGAAAAGGCATTGGGATGAGAGTGTGAGGAGATGTGTTGATGGTATATTAAAGGATAGGATGGGAAAGGTAAGGTAGAGTGTGATGGGTAGAGTGTGATGGGTAGAGTGTGATGGGTAGAGTGTGATGGGTAGAGTGTGATGGGTAGAGTGTGATGGTAGAGTGTGATGACAAGTAGAATGTGATGACAAGTAGAATGTGATGACAAGTAAAGCGTGATGACAAGTAAAGCGTGATGATAAGTAAAGCGTGATGACGAGTAGAGTATAACATGGATGAGAATAGAAATATACGATTACTATTAGAATGATAAGAGTACAAGATTACGTTACAACCTAACCATTACTAACCCATCAACCTGTTCATTACAACCTAATCATTATAATAACAAAATAAAACATTTCATATCATTGATAATATTCTGTTCTATTTCCAATTAATTAATATTAAATTTATTTACTACTTCAGTTACTCCTCACCACATCATTCTGTTCTATTCATTCACGTAATATTTCTTATTACGTATATTAAACACTAAAGTACGTAATACATGGTTAGATGTATTAAGCTTAACTAATGCAAAGATACTATCGTAGAGATAGTATGCCCATTATTAATATGATGACAATCACTAAGTCATTAACTAATAATCACCAATCTTTCTAAACAATAATAAATTCAGAACACTCCGTTATTAAAAGTATTGATGGTAATTCTAACGATTAGAATCAAAGTCCTATGTTAAATAATGTATGATCTTTAAACAGCATTAATCTTTGTACGTATTACACTATTAATAGGCTATGGATGATTATTAAGGTACGGTATTTATGATGAACTGCAGTACTCGTGGCAGGGCATTAAGAGAATACCTGTTAAATTATTCTTACTAATTAATATTTTGTACAAAAGGAGATGGGCCGAACCAGGGCTCGAACCTGGAGCCTCTTGCACCCAAAGCAAGCATTCTACCATTGAACTATCCGGCCATGTGCGGTTCATTATCTACGTTATAAGAATGTTTGTAATTACAATGCAATTAAGGAAAGGGTAGCCTTCAAACTTTATCTTCTCTTAAATAAAGCTTGTTCTAATAAAAATGAATGTACGTAAAGTTACATCGATATAAGCACAGTGTTATCTTAGCCGTTCTTAAACAATTTTTGTTACTATGCATAACATATTTAGGAATTAGAACGTACTGGTTATGTCATTACTATGTGTCCATGTATTACATTCCGTATAATCACATCATACCAATCAATCATGATATGCCAGCTCATCATGATATTTTCTTATATCCAGTCCAATCTTTCATAATTACCGTCTTATTATTCAAATAAATTATTATTGTAAATACTATCGATGCATAAATAAATTAGAGTATGCATTAATAATAAGGCCTTAAGATAATTTACAAGTCTTAATTATCTCCTGATTACATACTAAACAACGATACTATTCATACTGGGCATAGTCAGTAGTAGATTGTATCATTAGTATAGTACGTATTAATAGATTATAACTATTAGTAGATTGTATCATTAGTATAGTACGTACTAATAGATTATAACTATTAGTAGATTGTATCATAAATATAATACGTACTAAGTTATAATCATCATATTATAATCACCAATATTATAACCACCATATTATAATCATCAATATTATAATCATCATATTACAATCATCATATTATAATCATCATAGTATAACCATCATGTTATAATCACCATGTTATAATCATCATATTATAATCATCATATTATAACCAAATAAATATTAACAAAAAGAATCGAACCTTCAAAAAAACCTTTTTGTTCTCCAAAAATTTAAGAACCCTCAAAAAAAACATGCGCGAAATAATATCCATACACATAGGACAGGCGGGCGTACAAATAGGAAATGCATGCTGGGAACTATACTGCAAAGAGCACGGCATACAGCCTGACGGTCGGCCAGACGAAAACTTCGGCAGAAACGATTCGTGTCTGTCATTCTTCAGCGAGTCGTGCGAGAATACGTACGTGCCGCGCACGGTCATGATTGACTTAGAGCCTGGCGTAATTGAGAGTGTACAGAAGGGTCCGTTTAAGAAGCTGTTCCATCCTGAGCAGCTCATACACGGCAAGGAAGATGCTGCCAATAATTATGCGCGTGGTCATTATACGGTGGGCAAGGAGATACTTGATGAGTCGCTCGATAGGATAAGAAAGCTTACGGAGAATTGTGAAGGGCTGCAGGGCTTCCTTATATTTCATTCGTTCGGCGGTGGTACGGGCTCTGGTTTTGGTGCGTTGCTCATGGACAGGCTCACCAGTGTTTACGGTAAGAAATCGAAGCTTGAGTTCTCGGTGTATCCTGCGCCAAAGATCTCCACTGCGGTTGTTGAGCCGTACAATTCTATCCTTACCACACACACCACGCTTGATCACTCCGATTGCTCGTTCCTTGTAGATAACGAGGCTATTTACGATATGTGCCGTAATTTGGGGATTGAGCAGCCACGATATGCCGATCTCAACCGCATAATTGCGCAGGTTGTCTCGTCAATCACCGCTTCGCTACGCTTTCCCGGCGATCTCAACGTAGACCTTACAGAGTTTCAGACTAACCTCGTGCCCTACCCACGCATTCATTTTCCTCTGGTCGCGTACTCGCCAATGCTCTCCCGAGAGAAAGCATCGCACGAGCAGCTTTCCGTGCAGGAGATAACCAGCGCATGTTTTGATTCAAAGAATCAAATGGTGAAATGCAACCCGCAGAATGGCAAGTACATGGCGTGCTGCCTTCTTTTCAGGGGAGATGTCAATCCTAAGGATGTTAACCAGGCAACGCTCATCGCCAAGACAAAACGATCAAGCCAGTTCGTTGAGTGGTGCCCTACCGGCTTTAAGATAGGAATGAACAAACGCGAGCCTACCGTGTTGGATGGAGGTGCAATGGCACCCGTGAAAAGGGCGGTGTGCATGCTTTCTAATACGACTGCGATTGCTGAGGCTTGGGCAAGGCTGAATTCCAAGTTTGATCTTATGTTTGATAAGCGCGCATTTGTTCACTGGTACGTAGGTGAAGGGATGGAAGAGGGCGAGTTTACCGAGGCCCGTGATGATCTGCGTGTCCTTGAGCAGGACTATGCCATGGTTGCACAGGATTAAAGTATTAATTTCTCTTTAGTTGTGGTAGCGTTATTTTATGTTCGTAGAGTCTCTCTATTTATACTTTTACTTATTCATGCGTTTTGTTTATGCTTATTATTCATGCATTTTATTAATGCGTGTTTTTTAATGCATTTTAT